CGAATTTGCTGCGAGCGGCGACATGCTCTGCAGACGCTGGACCGCAAGAGACTCATGCTTGAGAGTTTTCGTGAGTAGGCGACACAGGAGTCGATGTACGTTCGATTGAAATGCGTCCAAGTAGAAGGTATTGAAGTGCCGAGCTTGATTGGAGGTCTAAGTATTGGACACAATCCGCGTACTATCGGCCCCCCAGAACATGGGCCGAGCTTCGGGCTTCGGTACAGTACCGATACAGTTACAGTTAAAGGGCCAGGGCGGCTTTCTAAACCCGTTGTTCCCCGCATTATTTGCCCATGACATTCGCGGGCTTCGATAGCTGACAGGTAATTTTGTTGTAAGGAGAGGTATCTTGCATTATTACAACTACAATACTCGCAACTACAGTACTGCCTCACATAATGCCAACGGCTCAGACATGGAAGCTGCAGAGGCAACCAATCCATGTACAGATTTTGGTTCCTTTTGACATTAAAATTCGTTTTGGCTTGACCTTTGTGAAAATAAGAAAATACACCTCTTTATCGTTGACAGGCTAAAACTGGGTAGAAGTTGGTATTCCAGTAATCGCATCCGTAACCGCTTAGTACTCAGCCTCGAGCTCCTCCTCACCCATGGAGTCGGTGGCGACCTCCTCGTAATCGCGCTCCAGGGCAGCAAGATCCTCACGAGCCTCAGAGAACTCGCCTTCCTCCATACCTTCACCGACGTACCAGTGGACGAAGGCACGCTTGGAGTGCATGAGATCGAACTTGAGAGAAAGTGAAGACCATGCCTCAGCGATGGCGGTAGTATTAGAGAGCATGCAGCTGTTTTGGCGTTAGTTCATTCATTCCATTCGTCAAAATGATAAGGAATCGACTTACACAGCGCGGCTGACCTTGGCGAGGTCACCGTTAGGCACATTCTCGGGGGCCTGGTAGCAGATACCAAGCTTGAAACCAGTGGGGCACCAATCGACGAACTGGATAGTTCGCTTGGTCTTCAGTGTGGCAACAGCAGCATGGGCGTCGTTGGGAACGACGTCACCACGGTACAGCAAACAGGTAGCCATGTACTTGCCGTGGCGGGGGTCACACTTGACCATCTGGTTGTTAGGCTCGAAGCAAGACATTGTCATCTCTTGGACGGAGTTGGCTTCGTGGGCAGCCTTAGCAGCGGAGATGACTGGGGCGTAGGCGACCAGAGGGAAGTGAATTCTGGGGTAAGGAACCAAGTTGGTCTGGAATTCGTTCAAGTCGACGTTCAGGGATCCATCGAATCGCAAAGAGGCAGTAATAGAAGAGACGACTACATGCTGTTAGTCAACTGGCAACTGCATAGCCCAACAGCTATAACATACCCTGAGCAATGAGACGGTTGAGATTCTCATAGTTAGGGCGCTCGAGGCCGAGGTTTCGGCGGCAGATGTCGTAAATAGCCTCATTGTCAACCATGAAAGAGCAATCAGAGTGCTCAAGGGTGGTGTGTGTGGTAAGGATAGAGTTGTATGGCTCGACAACGGATGTGGCAGTCTGGGGCGCGGGATAAACACAGAACTCCAGCTTGCTCTTCTTGCCGTAGTCGACCGACAGACGCTCCATCAGGAGAGCGCCAAAACCAGAACCAGTACCACCACCGAAAGAGTGGAACACGAGGAAGCCCTGGAGGCCAACACAGTTGTCGGCAACACGGCGAATCTTGTCGAGGACGCCATCGATGAGCTCCTTTCCGACGGTGTAGTGACCACGGGCGTAGTTGTTTGAGGCATCCTCCTTGCCAGTGATCATCATCTCAGGGTGGAAAAGGTTGCGGTAGGCACCGGTGCGGACCTCGTCGACGACATTGGGCTCCAAATCACAGTAGATGGCGCGGGGGACATACTTGCCCTGACCTAGAAATGGGTTAGAACAGCAGCACGACCGTTAAGTCCTAGGTTAAGCCATACCAGTCTCGGAGAAGAAAGTGCTGAAACCCTGATCGGGGTCTTGGGACTTTCGCTCCTCTGTGAGGTAACCATCAGGCTGCAGTTGGTCAGTATTTGGTCATGGTGTTTGTTGACAAATTTAGGGGTTGTCGTGTGTACCTGGATACCGTGCTCGAGGCAGTAAAGCTAGGGAAACAATCAGTACGAATCGATACAAACAAAGTCTTGACAAAACTCACCTCCCAGCAGGAGTTGGCGATTTGGCAACCGGCCTGACCAACTAGAACAGCTCAGTTAGCATCGCAACAGAGCAGACAGAGATGCGGTGAAAGCCCAACGTCAAAGGGAGGAACAGCTTACCGTTGATGCTAATGACCTCACGCATGTTTGCTGACGATAGTGTTTACAAGTATGAGATGGAGGAAGTCGATGCAATGCAAGAGCAGAGAAGAGGGACCACGAGAAAAGAGGAGGACAAAAAAGGACAGGCCAGACAAGGCTTTTACAACGGGAAGAGAGGAGACAAGACGAGGGCGAATGTTTGGTTTGGTGATAAGTTAGCGGAGTGGAGTGGGCTGGATGGGAGAAAATAGGTGAGGTGGGGGAAATTTGGCAGACAGGGGAGCCTTTGCTGCCCTCCACTGGGATTGGATTGGACCTTCTATGGGTTTGTTGATTTGATTTGATTTCGAGGCGTGCCTGGGCTGAAAAGGGGCAAGCGCGTCCTGCAACGCCCTGTTGGCGTTTTCCGCTGCCGGCGCCTGTTGGCCAGCTGCCAGGGCCCAGGGGTTGCCCAAAGGACCCCTCCCGCCTGGACACCTACCACTCGGTCGTTTCTGTGTCTGTGGTTATGGTTCTTCGCTTCACCGCTCCATCAATATTAGCAGCTTCGAGGAATTATTATGTCCAGCATTGCGGAGTCGTCGTGTAGAGGCTGGGACTGGATTTCACGGACCAGGCTGCCAACGCCAGGACACTCAAGTTGAGTTATTGGTGTCTCTCTTGGACGGTGACCCAATGGATGGATCCATATTTACTTACCACTGTCGAACGACATCTCATCTCGGGCTGTCGAGGCGTTCATTTCGCCTGTGCTAATTATAATTGGCCTCATATCCATACCAGGTGTCATGTCTGAACTTTGAACAGTCTCTAATTCAAATCAGAAGAAAATATCATAAGCAATTCAATCACTCTTGTTCGTTTTTCTTTCTTTTCACAGTATGTATTCTCTTTCTTCACTGGAAGGTAATTGCAGAAGCCATCATTGTCGGGCACTGTTCATTTGTTTACATTACATCCCTATTGCTATCCCAGTACATAGGTGCCTGGAACCACAGCTCCCTTCTCGTTAACCACCCTAGGCCACCTTAGGTACTTATCGTTCGCTCTGTGCTCAGTACCGGCAGCCTAGGTACCTGCGTACTACCTGTAGGAGGTAGTTCCTATTACAAGACATGGTTAATAAGGGGCAATTCCATTGCGTTCGTAGGTATCCAACTTAGGACCTAGATACTAGATATCCAAGCCGATTATTATGGTACATACGCAGGTGTCACTTGAAAAGCTCACAACTGCCGTTCATTATCACCACGAGGCTCGAGCTCAGTCGATGATCTTCATTATGGTCTGTGATGTGTCAAAGCTTGGCTTTGACGACTAGTACTATGCACGACCGCGATTCAACGTCATTATCCCTCCATCTGCCAATATGAACTTGCGAAATGTATACATGGAATCAGAGATCATGCCATGGCAGATTACTATGTGCTGTAACATTGACGGGAGTTTTAGATACCTTATGCGGGGCAGTTGGTCTGCATCACACGTGACGCTTTAGAGCAACACCTTACCTGTGCTTTTGTTTCTAGCTCAACATGTAAGTATCGGCCTGAAAGGAGGAGTTACAAATGAACGCAAACAGTTAGAGGGCAAACACAGGTCTCCCAACACCAATATGCTGTCTCTCAGGAGGGCTCAAGTAATATACGCCATAGGCGGCCTGCTGTGTCTTCTTAGCATGGCCATCGCCAATGTTGAAAAGACAATCTTCACAGCCCCGCCATCACTCCCTATTCCCCAACAGAAGCCTTCACTGGGTGATCTCAGACTACCGACCCTTACACCAGACGCCCCAAATATTCGAACTCATATCAGCCGCGTGTTTCCCTCTGAGCCAAAGGATTACGCTTCCGGCGTTGCAACGTGGGTGCTTCTTGATAAACTAAACCAAGGCCAGCGATATGAATTTCGTATATGCTGGGCTGCGATTGTGAGTCAACATGAGATTTACGTAGAGAAAACAAGCTAATTCGTCTTCGCCGCCAGCAACCCACTGTGTTTAACTTGGCTGTATACGAGCTGGACACCGTGTGGCAGACACCAGAGCTGATTCAATCACTTGCCAACTACTCATTTTCTCGCCAAGACCAAGAAGCTGTACTGACAAAAGAGTCAACTCAAACTGAAGGCAGGGAGCGCGAGGCTTCCGTTCTTCTGCTCCAGATCAAGTCATCTGCTGACTACTTTACGAACGACGCGGCTCTTATGAAGGATCCTTCACCTGTACACGTAGATCTCATCCTCGACCCCTATCTTTATGGTATCGTCCCCCGTTCTTTAGTCCCAGCAGCTGGTTATCTTGTTCTCGTCGGCGCGGTGGCTTGGTTTGTGTCCAGATCTATCGCCTCTAGGTTACAGACTATTACAGTCACAACCGATGGCGCAAACAAGAAACAGAATTGATAAACGGAGGTGTTGGCACCATCGGGCTCTCGACTCTAGATGCTAAAAAATGGGCTTGGTGGAATGCGTTCTACTATGTACGTTAATCATATTGCTCGTAACTTCTCCAACTTCCTGCCACTCTCCCTTGCCCCCTCGAGAGCTTCGATATCTATACTCATTTCAACACACATCTTCATCGAAAAACACTTTCATATCAAGCATCCAAGTGTCGGATGTGACAGGAGAGCTATAGATTTCTTCGGTGTGGAATATTCTTGCGATCTCATACCAAAACTACAAGGCGGCCGATGGCTCAAAAGAGGGTCATAAATACTGCGATTGTTCCGTACAGGTTCATTACAGTCTCTCAGTAAGCTCCTCCATACTGAGGATGGGAACCATGAGGCACAGGAGGAGCGCCACTGTTGAATTGCGGCTGGCCACCGTAAGACTGCTGGTTCCCCTGGCCTGCATTATAAGAAGGGCTATATCCTCCGGGGGGGGCTCCTGGTGGTGGAGGAGGAAAGTTCTGATTGCCTGAGTTTGGCGGTGGTGCACTATAGCCCTGTGACTGCTGAGCATGTTGATCAGGCGGGCCGCCAAAGTGGCCGCCGTGCGCCTGAATATCGGGATAGCCTGTACCAGAAGACGGCTGATGTGGCTGTTGTCCAGGGGGTGGAGGAAAGTATTGCTGTCCCTGTTGTGCATTTTGTCCATGTTGGGGAGGGCCTCCTGGCGGAGGAGGAGGGAACGAGTTGTTCGAAGAACCATGAGGGCTCCCACCAAAAGATGAGTTACCTCCGTACTGCTGGCTCGAACCAGGCTGCTGCTGATGACTGCCATAAGGGCCATTCTGACCCGGCTGTTGCTGATGCGCGCTGTACTGTTGGCCTGGCTCAGAGTGTTGCTGACCATACTGCTGGTTTCCGCCGGGCTGTTGCTGATGCGAGTTAAAAGGCTGATGAGAACCTGGCTGCTGCTGCTGCGATCCGTATGTCTGATTCTGACCAGGTTGGTGTTGAGAGCCGTACTGTTGGTTCGAGCCATGCTGTTGATGCTGGTTCGGGGATGGAGAGCCATAGGAATGCACACTGGCTGCGGGGGGCGCTGAAGCCGCCGAAGGAGCTGAGCCCGTAGGATTGTAGGTTGGTGCCTCGCCGGAGTACGTTCCACCACCACCCTGCTGCTGTTGCGGCTGTTGCCCCGAGCTATAGCCAAAGTTGGAGTTTTGTCCCTATCGCCTGGTTAGTCTAGTCTTGCGCGAACAGCGCACACTGATGTTGTGAACATACACTGCTGCCGTGTTTGCCACCAAACATAGTTGCGACACCACCCATGAGCTGCCCGGCGAGGCCTCCCTGATGATGGCTTGAGCTCTGGTTGGAATTGCCATGGTAATTTTGGGGGGGAGGGGGCTTCTCCTGACTAGCCGAGTGCATAAAGCTCGACGCCAGTTGCCCAACGAGCTTTCCTGCGCCTGAGGGCTTGTTTCCCCCATTGCTGCCGCCACTACCACCATGGCTACCGCCGAGGAACTGGTTGGCAAGACCTCCAAGATTGCCCAATGGACTAGAGCTGTGGCCACCGCTGCTGCTGCTACCACCATGACCAGAGTTCTTTCCGCCAAGCAAAGCGTTCATAGCCATGCTCTGACAGGCTGTTAGCACAATTCAACACTATCGAGAAATGCCAAGACGACATACTCCAAGACCCCGTTCGCCAGAGGGACCGTCTACACCTCGGGTGCCGTCCGGCATAATTGGTTCCATGGTACCATCTGCATGGCGCACAGTTTGCGATCCATCAGGATGCGTGATGAGCTCCGAACGTTTGGGAGTGCCGTAAGGATGTTCGCCCTGGGGAGCTGGAGTATTTCCCGTTTTGGCTGGTTCAGTAGGAACCTCCCACTGCGAAACACCAGTCGATAGCTGTACATAATAATACTTCTTGCTTGTACCATCCCATTGAGCAATCCAGCCCGCGGGCAGAGGGGGAGGAGCAAACGTGGGGCCTTCGGCCTGAGGAGAAGCAGGGCCCGTCATGTTCGAAATACGGTATAGGTAAAGATATTGTATGTAGCGGTCGAGGCGGGGAGATGTCGCAAATGGAGGGGTCGCAGATAAGGTAGGCAGAGGATGAATAGATTACGGCGTGGCGAGGGTGAAGGAGTGGTTGAAGACGGAAGTCCGTCACTGAGCTACAAGGGCCGCAGTCATGAAGAGTGTAAAATACAAGAGGCGGGAACACGACAAGAGACGAGGTGAGGTTCAGATGGTGTCGCCTCTAAACTAACCCTGTGGAGGTCAATAAGGCAGGCTTGGCTTGACTGGGCTAAGCTGGAGGAGGGGCTCCAGGCTCTCTTTCGCCGCCCAAGATTGATTGATGGGAAGACACCCTCAGCGAGGGGAAAGCCCACTTTGGGTTGTTACATTACCCTCGAGGGGCAAGAAAACATCACACCTTGATATGGGGTGTCAAAATAAACTCAGTAAAAGTCACCCTAAGATTATGCTATATTACCTAAATCCTTTTGTCATATAGGATCAAGGCCCTGAGTTTTTTTTCCTCCCCTATTACTTACCTTTGTAATAGGTGCCTGCCCAGCGGCTAAAGGTAGATCAGGCGTCTACAGAAGTGAGTATCAAACTAAACCAGCTCACAAATTCCAACAACTCGGTTCAGTGTCGTCTACCATGACACCAGTTTTTGTATAGAGCGCCAGGTCTACAACTTCTCTATCGGGCTCTGGAAAATCCACTCAGATATGTACTCGTACTGTACTCCTGATCTCTCAATTGCTTCATCTTACCATCCAAAAGACTCCACTAGGCTTCTGACGAGACCAAGCACAGCCCCGCCAGCAGCCCAGGTTAGGCTTGGGTTCCAGACAAAAACCTACCATTAATGATTACTGTATATATACTGTCTGATAAGGGCCAGTCTTGGTGTTTAAAGAATGTCTAACGATATAGCTAACCAATCACAACCTTTCGCACAAGCTCATATCGCACTGTGCATGTTGCTGTTTTTGGCATCATGCTGGAAAGTATGCTTTACCTAGCACCTAGTTACACTGGTAGATTGGCTTCACAGCCCCTCCAAATGATCACTTATGTTTACCTGTCGTAGGCGGCCTCTTTCCATCCAACGAACTCCATACAAACCCCAACACACACATTGGCTGACCCAGGCTCGGCCAGGGTAGTAAAGCATACCTTAGTGTTTTATGGTCATTGCTCTCCACACTTACATGGAATACTGGAATCACCATCCCACAAGTCCAAGTACTTGACAACGAATGCTTCAAGCTGTATGCTTCGATAACTTCCTTATCAGCTCTTTCATGCGATGAGCCATGTTGCACAATTCACAGTCACAGTCATGTCGAAATAAGTGTTTTGAAAGATCCATGAGTCTAATTCCTATTCCAGTTATTGTACATGAAGATAAAAACTCCCATATCCTTCCATCTACTGTTCCAGAACGTCAAGCAAAGTATATGCTGTTCTATTTTGCTCTCCTTCCTCTTGACATTCCGAATTGCAGCTCAGCTCTCTTTCAGGATAGCCTTAGACCTGGCGACCTCGAATGGCGAGTCGGCGACCGAAACCAAAGGCCATCGCCGAGCTCTTATTGCCAGAGCAAGTTGTACCAGCGGCCATAGATTGGACAACAGACCAGCGACCGGAAGCGCAACGCTGGTACTTTGTTCCGCCAATGCAATTCCAGGCACCCTCATCACTGCATGCAGCTCCAGCAGTCTCTTCTGAACCGGAGCCAGAGCCACCGTCACCTGCGCCAGGAGCAGTGGGGGTAGTAGGAGCAGGCTCAGGGCTACCGACACTGGTAGTAACAGGCTGACCGCCAGTTCCAGGGGCAGGTTTGGTCATGGTCAAGAGGGTGCTGGTAGCGGCGGGAGCTGAAGGAGCAGGGGCGCCAGTAGCCTCAGCAGGCTGAGAGACAGTGACGAAAACACCACCAGGACTATGAATTTGTGAGTTAGGAGCATTACCAATAGAAGAGGGGGAGGGTACATACGCTGAAGGGGCGCCGGCAGCTGGGGCTGATGGCTGAGCGGCAGGGGATGAAGGTTGAGCAGCAGGTTGAGTCTGAGTAGGGGCAGCACTTGGAGCAGCACCGTTGTTGCCTCCAGCGGATCCGTCAGCGGGAGTGCTAGGAGCAGCACCGTTGCTACCATCACCGGAGCCAGAGCCAGAGCCAGAGCCAGAGGCAGAACCAGAGCCAGAACCAGAGCCAGAGCCACTACCAGATCCTGCCTTACCACAAGTACCCTTGGGGCCAGCAGTCTTCTGAGAGTCGTTGCTCACATCGGGACCAGGATCAGGGAATTCGAGATCGGACGACTCCTCGGTAGTGCAGCCGTTGCCGACGTTAGCAACGAACATCTCAGGACGGTTGCTCATGGCGTCTGCTCGCTTGCCGGAACCACCACCAATAGTGACGGCAGCGCAATTCATGTACATCTCACGGTTACCGATCTGATTGAACCACGACCAAGCGAAGATAGCCTCGCCGGATGGAGCGTCGCTGGGGACCTTGAAGTCGAAGGTGGTGGTACCAGCACCAGGACAGTTACCGATGTAAGAGTGGATGACCTTCCAAGACTTTCCTTTGTCGTAGGAAAGGGAAGCCTGGCAACTGCCACCGCCGTGGTTAGCGCCGCCGGTGATGCTCATATTGTAGGAACCGCCGGCAGCCCAGTCTGCGACCGAGGCACCCTCCTTAGTACCAAAGAGGGAGTGGTAGCCCTTGCAAGGAAAGTTGGCGCCGCTAGCATCGAGAGGGGCGGTCATGCTGTAGTCGACATCGCTACCAGCATTGGGGTTGGATTTTGACTTGAAGGGGGGAGGGTAAATCATCTCCATATGTGCCTGGGCTAGACCAGCCAGACCGAGGCACGCAGCGACAGATGAGAAATGCATTTTGTCGCAGTTGAAAAAAGGTGTGGTTAAAGTGGAAGTTGTGTGTGAGGGTATCTCGAAAAGAAGTTGATGTTGACACGGTTGTGTTGTTGTCGAGTGTTGCTCAGAGATTGCTTGGAGTAAATCCTTGTGGTGAGTCTTGCAGGATGAAAGAGTTCTGAAAGGATTGAAGCGCTTTTATATCGGAGCCTGGCTTGACCTTTGAGATTTTTCGGGCTTCTCGTTGTTCAAGTGAACTGGTAATGAATGGTGAACCACGGGTGCTGGTTCTGTTGCAGTCGTTATTGTTCGGTGGTCGAACAGTGAATCAAAGGATTGTGGGTAATGGGACAACAGCGTTGGTAAAGTAAGGAAAGTGATGAGGGACAATAAGATCCCAGCACGACCAAGGTGAAGAATATTTGTGACTGTATGGAAGAGAGAGAAAACAACAGTGACTGTACACCAGAAGTGACGAGCAGTGGCGGGCACAGATGGGTTAAGCGATCTTGTTTTCTCGAACAGGTCGACGGCGTCGGACGGGAGGTAGGTTCCAGGTGACACAAGGGCCGAGTTCTTGTACGTTGTTCAGTCGGTGAGTTGATGAAAGCTGTCGTTCAGAAAAAGATTCCAGTGTCTGTTACAAACAGGATAGACTGGGGTAGAAGAAGTGAAGATGAAGTTTCTTGATTGTGAGGGAATGTATCCAGCCCGTCAAGGGAGTGTCAAGAAGAAGAAAGAAGAAGAAGAAGAAGAAGAAGAAGTGAAGAAGAAAGAAGCCAAGAAGGGACCGTCTTGAGATAGAATCCTGAGCGTTGCTGCAGATGAACAGAAAGACGGCGGATTTTGGAGGTTGGGGAGGCCCTCTTATGTAGTACTCGGTACGATCACAACCACTTTCCTCTACCCACCAGGTCTGGCAGGTCAGAATGTTTCAGTCGTTTCGTTTCGGCTGCCTCTAAGCCAAGACACAGCACAGAGCAGAGTCAATAACCGGACGGACCCTTGACAGTAGTTGACTAACTAATCCATACCAACCGTCTCCTGATTCCCTGTCCTGAATCGCAGCGCGGCAATGGTCCAGCGAATTAGTCGCTCTCGTTGTTCGTCTTTGCCCCCCCTTGCAGACTTGCAGAGCCAGGGCCTCCAACTCCACAGAGCATGAACACGCCCAACTACACAGCCCGGAAGTAAGTGCCATCAAGAGGCGGGAGGGTCCCTTAGGATCGACGTTATTCCCTTGACTCACCAGGAACAGTTTTCGGGGAGCGAAGCGACTGGTGGTGGAAGCGTCTCGAGTGTGGGCGTCTATGTCGCATGTGTCTGGAGACCCCCTTGAGAGCCGGCGCCTAATGGCAAGCAAAGGATTCTCCTCCTACCTACTTACCTACCTATTCAATAAGTAGCCACGTCATGGTGCTTCTGATACCCAATACCCATAAGTCATTTCTGTTTCTTTCTATCGCCATCGTTGGTTACGTGGATCTCATGCCATTGTTCTCTGTCGACCTACCTACATCGGAGAGAGCGTTGATGTCGAAAAGAAAAGTGGTGCCCCTGGACAGAGGCGCCGGGCCAAGGATTTGAAACCGATCTCTTCCCCACACGCCCTTGCTCTTGCAAGCACAGACTCTTAGATTATCATGCTGGATACTCAATAGAAAGTCTCCAACTAAGCCTCTTAGGCGTTTAGACAGACATCTACTGGACAAGGGACAAGCGACACCTGATACACGAGTTGTTGGTCTAGCCCTTTTCCTCCTTTCTCTGTTACTAAATGTCTTGCTTTCTCTATGAATTCATCATGTGCTCTAATTAAACGTCTGCCTTTCATCTCGTAACACAAACCTCCTCTTCAGCACTGGCACTCTTGCATGTGCTGCTTGCTTCGTAGATCTCTTATGCCGTGTTTGCCTGCCATGCGCCGGGCTACATGATGTGAGACCTGACACGGCCCGTTTGTTGCTCGCCTTTGTTGCCACCCAATATTGGCCTTTTTATAATCCCGTTCCCTGTTGTTTTCGTTGTTTCGATCCTTCTTTATGCCCATCTTCGCCGAAATACCCGTCTCGCCCTCAGATAGAACGAATGTCATCCTTTCAGCACATCTATCTACACTA